GGTCTTTCTTTGGAAACCTGGCTAACTTTCCCTGTTCACTCCCATTCATTCATTTTTTGGCTTAAAAATTTAAGCAAAGGCAGGATTAGAGATAACCTAAGACAAAAATGTAGTTTTGGCTCAGAGAATTTCAGAATTGAAAGAAACTTTAGTCACTATCAAGAATAGTATGTCATTTCACACATAAGGACACCAAGACCCAGAGACATTACTTAAATGGCGGCCAAATACCAATCTGATGTGTAGGTATCTGATTTTTAAAAGCAAATTTTACTCAAGTGACTTACTGACAAAAAAAGACCACAAAATTCTCTGTCAACCAAACAATTTTACTTCTTCAGGGGCTTATGCTGGTCAACACTATACCCTGGAATGATGAGTGAACTCACCTTACTCCTACCAAAAGCTAACCTGTCCACCTGGGCCAGTCTCCTCTCTGCTTCCTCAAGCCTTCACTCCAGCAACTGTCACCTCTCCCGTATCACTCCCTCCCCTCCCCTCTCCATCACACATGTGAGCTCTATAGCAACGCCAGCAGCAAACACCTATAGACAGCCTTACCATGTGCCAGGCACTTTACAAATGCTCATTCATTCAATCTTCACAACAACCCTAAAAGGCAGGTATTACTATTATCCCCATTTTACACATGAGAAACCTGTGTAGGCCAGAGCTAGCAAGTGGCAAAGCAGAGATTTAAATCCAGGCACTTGAGTGCTTTGCTGCTTTCAAAACACAACAAACAAAATAAGCCTCTCCCTTAATCCAGTTATCACCCCACTTTTCTGCTCCCATTCACATCAAAACATTTCAAGAGTTGTATGTGGTCCTGCCTCCACTTTATCTCTCACTCTCTCTCCAACACAATCCAGTCAGGCTGTCACTCTCGGCAATGTACTAAAGCCGGTCATTCTGGTTACCCATTTTGGTAAATCCAATGATGACCTCTCAGCCAAATTCAGCATGGTTGGCCACTCTCTCCTTTTTGAAACACTTTTTCTCCTGGCTTCAAGGACACTCTGCTGATTTCCTTCCTGCCTGACTGGATATTCCTTCTCCATCTCCTTTGCTGGCCCTTGCTCTTCTGTTTGGCCTCTCAGTGTTGACACAGCCCTGGGCTGAGTCCTGGGTCCTCTTCCCCTACTCTCTACATGGCTTAAACTTTTTATTCCCAGCAGTGAACTGCAAACTCATATATCCAACTGCCTATCTGAGTTTCCATTTCAAACTTCACACATCCAACAAAGAACTTTTTTCTCCCATTTTTTTCCTTTTTATTATTATGAAAATTTTCAAACAATACAAAAGTAGTAAAAATAGTATAATGAACCATCATGACCCAGATTTAACAGTCGATATGAGTTTATATGAGCTGATATGAGTTGATAAAACTCATGGCTAATCTTGTTTCATCTGTAACTCTGTCTACTCCCGCCCACCCCCACCCAGATTATTCCAAAACTGAACTCCGTATTTCCCCTCCTCTAAACTTGTTCTTCTCCATCTTAGCAAATAGATGCTACCATCATCACATTACCTACCAGATTATTCAAAACCCAAACCCTGGAAATCCATCTTGGTTTCCTCTCCTCTCACAAACCATCCCCCCACGCCCCATCACCCTCTGTGAAACCCACAAGCTCTACCTCTGTCCCAGATCCATCCTCACTGCTACCACCCAACTGGAAGTCACTATCACCTCTCCTGAGACTATGTCAATAGCTTCCAGTCTGGTGTCAAGCAAAGAAAAGACCCATTTAAAATGTAAATTACTCATTTCCCAGCTAAAAACCTTCCATCACCCTTAGAATAAAATTTCAACTCCTTACCCAAGGCCACGATTTATACCACCTGGCTCCTGTCTCCCTCTCATCCTCTCTCAAACCTACTCTCCTCTGAACATGCCAAGCTCATTCCTGCTTCAAAACCTTTTCTCACCAGTCCCTCTAGTGAGGGACAAATGCTGTGTACATGGCTGGTTCTTTTCTTTATTCAATCTCAGCTCAAATGTTATATACCGATATAAAATTGCCCCTGCCCCAGGCACTCTTGCCTCCCATAACCCTGTTTTATTTCCTTCACAGTGTATATCACACCTGACATTCTCGGGATTATCTGCACCAGAATGAAGCTCCACATATAGCAGGGGCCTGGCCTGCCCGATGCACTGTTGTAACCCCAGTGCCCAGAACAAGGCTGGGCACATAGCAGGTACTCAGTATATGTCTGTTGAATTTAAAACAAAATTCACTGCATTTGACTGGGTCCCTTAGGGGAAAAATGGAAAGAGCCTCACCTCTTAGATTGCTTAATTTATTGAACAAGTGTGTCAGTGAAACGCACTGCCACTATATTTTAGACACTATCCAGTTAAATTCTGAGCATAGCTAAGTAGTAGCAGGACAGGCAGTTAGGTACATAAAATCAGTGCCACAGAAATCTGAAGGAAGGGGCTTGTCTATCATATTCAATGCCGCAACCCCAGGACCTAGCCCAGTGTCTGGCAAATGAATAAATGGATACATAAGAATTAGTAATTTAAAAATTCTTTCATTGCCAAACTTTCTCATCAAATTGATGAACAGAGTATATCTTGCTCAGTGGGCTAACCCTCTACTGCAGCCAAGCATGGAGTGACTCCTCCAGTAAAATTTTAGTCTTGCCTGAACAAAATTTACAGCATGAAATGTTTCTACTCTTATCTCCTTGACATTTCTAGGGTTACTCAGACTGCTTATTCTTTGATTCTTAGGGAAAAAAATGTGGACTTAAACACAAACAGTCAAATGTCATTCAATTCAGAGTTCAGTTTCCTGCATCAGCATGACCTCAGACTGGTTACATTTATAGTCCCATATTATGATGTTAGTAAGTTTTCCAGAGGGACTACAAAGACCAACACTGGAAGGACATTTCTAGGTGAGTGCTCTATTCTCTACCCACTCCAGGAGTGGCAGCAGGGTCCTCTGGCCTATGAATTCTGATCTGGAGCTTCCCTTATCCCTGGGAGACATTTCCTTGGCTCAGCTTATTCTTTGTAAAATCAGATGAGGCTACCTTATGAACTTAAACGGAAAAGCAAATGACGTGGGGAGTTTTGTAAAACATACTTGCTATACGAACTACAGGCAAGAGAGGAAGACGAGATTATAAGCAGATGGTCTAGTTCTGTTACAGCCTAACCTGCTGTTCATTTCACCAAGTCCAAGGCTGAGCCCCTACTCTATGGCTAGGAGCACCCTCTGGAGGGATTGGGGCGAGCCTCTGATGACCATACACTGCTGACATGGGAGCCCCAGACATCGTCTAGCTTTCTCCAGTTTCTCCCATCTCTTTTCAGTTTTCATTCTGTTTGGGAGAGGAATGGAAATTAGAAATAGAAGAGAAGAGTTGCAACATAAAAATTCTTCCTCCAAGGTACTACTATGATTTGAATTTTCTGACTTGTGGGCACTAAAATTCACAACTTTTCAATCACACTATTAGAGTTTACATTAACTTTCTTGTAGTTTACCTAAACTTGGCTCAAAATGATCCCCCAAAAGTACCAATAATTTTGTACTGTAAAGTTCTGAAATGACTACTCTAATTCAGGGGCTGGCAAACTATTACCTGTAGGCCAAATCTGGGTGTTTGGTAAATAGTTTTATTGGAACACAGCCACACCGATTTGTTTACATATTGTCTATGGCTGTTTTCACACTACAAAATCAGAGTTTAGTAGTTTTAACTAAGACAGCATGGCCCACAAAGTCTAAAACATTTACTATCTGGCCCTCTATAGAAAGCTTTTCAATCCCTGCTCTAATTCTACCTGCCTCAAAATACAACAGGAAAGAGTATAGTCCAAGCCAATTAAATAAACCACTTTTTCTTCACAATCGACAAGGACTTCATTTTTTAAAACGAAATCCCAACAAGCCTCACATTTACAGAATCAGCATTTTTGTTTGTTGAACAAACCAAAAACAAGTATTTTCAGATTTATCATCATTGGGAAAAGTGTATTTTCCCACACGCTCATAAATCAACTCTTCTGAACTAATTTTACAGACTTTTCAAAAAAAAAAAAAAAACCAAACATCGACTTAAAGCTGAATCAACGAACACAGCACCCTCAGTCCCAAAGCAATTTTCTGAAAGTAGAATTGGCTTTAAGAGTAGAGCCTAACGATACACCTTTACATTAGGGTGTCCTTCTATTAATACATAAAATGAAACTAGCACAATACAATTTCTGACTATGTTTGTGGAAGTGTATAATCCTTTCTAATACGAAATAGTTTTTTTTTTACTGTTATTTCAAATAGCCCTACAACACTAAGCTAAATGTATGTGAATATGTGAGAAAGTCAAAAAAAGCAAAATCAATATCCAATTTATGTTTTTAAATAAAAATGGGGTTACTCACTGAGGTAAAGGGTGAGGATCCTTTATTTATCAGCCCTTGACACCCCTTCAGGTGGTAGATTAGTTTTCTACAGTCTGAATATAGTAGGAAAAATCTGTACATTAGAAGTGTAACAAAAGTTCATCCACCTTCCTTTCTCAGATGTTAGTGCTTTCTCCCTTCATGAAATGAGATGTTGTTCTAAAGCAAAGACTTTGAGACATGGTGCCAAAAACAGAAAAGAAAGAAAGAAAAAGAAAATGTAAGCCATTCATAAAATGTAGGCTCTAAAAGTAATTCTATCCCTAAAATAGAACCCTAAACATCATACCTGTGAGGATGGTTCCCTCAATTGCTGCTATACTCTCTTCCTTAAAAGTTAATCCATTGATTCCAACTTTGAAAAGAAAAATTTAAGTACTTCTCTGTCATCTTTTCAAATTAGTTATCATATGTCTTGCTCAGAAAATTTCTGAACAGAACGATAACAAGCTGCTCCTGACTGTCCTTCAAAGGGACCAAACTCATCTAATGCCTTACTTGTAAACCAGTCATAATTGTGCACAAACTGCCCAGCCAGAAAAACCTCCCATACCCCAAAGATACAAACCTCCCGGCGAATCACACTTGCAGTTCTCTCCAAGTGATCAGTCTTCCTTATGGATTGCATTACACTTTAACAGAGAGTAAAATTAGGTTATTAAATATTATCCTCATAAAAATAATAAAATTAGTTTTTCCTATAACATCACGGCTATCCAAAATACAATATAACATTATGGAGCCTACAAAATGGCCAGTGAATATTTCCACTGAAGTAAAGTTTAATGATCTGATGGCATGCCCATTTAAGCCAAGATGTTACCTCTTTCAGGAGTTTCACATGCCTCCCACAATCATCAACAGGTCAAGTCTCTCTGAAAATCAACCTCAAATGACACTGAAGCCTAATGACTTACCTGGTTAGAGTAAGGTAGCGCAAAGTGCTGGGTGTCAATCTCAATAAAGGGGCCTGAGCACAGATGGCTCCAGCAGAGCCTCGCAACAACCCAGGAATCAAAACAGCAGGACAGGCCATGGTACTTCCTGGGCAAACATGAAACCGAAATTTAAAATTATTTTAAGAAAAAGTGGAGAAATATCAGATTATCTTAGGAGCCAGTGAAGAAGAGTTTGGATTTCTGTTGGTGATGTTATGAGTTGATTCACTAGCAAAGCAACCAAGAGCCTAACCTCACCTTGACAAGGTTTCTGCCACTATTTAGAGTTGATTCAAGGTATTGCCCCGGTACATATGTACGTAATTTTTGGTGCTGTCAAATATTCATTTTCTCTACTGGTTTCCAAAATCTCTGACCAAGTTCATATGACTAATCTTATGCTACTATAGAAGAGGAGAGATTTTTATAACTGCCTGATAATTGTACTCCACCTAAAGAGCACTATGTAACTCTTTAATATTTCTTGTTATATAAAGTACAAAAGAGAGGCCAATTTACTGAGGTTCCCAAACATAAAATGCTTAAGGTTCCCAGATATTAAAAACCAACACAGATAATAGTAACACTATTCATAATAGCCCGAATTGGAAACTATCCAAATGGCCATTACTAAAGTAGATAAACTAGTTGTGATACATCCATACAATAAGATAGACTATACGGTAATGAAAATAAATACACTGAAATTACATGCAGTAACATAGATGAATACCACAAATATACTGAATGAAAGAAGCCGGACTTAAAAGAACACATAAAAGAACATGATTGATTCCAATCATATTAAGTACAAAAATAGGCAAAATGAATCTACAGTGTTAGAAATCAAGTTAGCAGTTTTTTTCCTTGGGAGGTGGTAGTGATAATGTTGTTTCTTAATCTGGGTGCTAACTGCATGTAAAACGTGATCTTAGAATTTGTGTACTTTTCTCTTTGTATATTATACTTCAATAGAAAGTTAAATGCGTGCGCGCGCGCGCACACACACACACACACACACACACACAAATTCCTCAACATTTCAAATTCTAAAAACTACTGGCCTATCAGAAAAGGCACTGATTAGGAGCCAGATGATATATTTTGTTTCTTTCCTATGTCAATTTTTAAACATTTCTTTGCCTAAAATGGCCACATTTAACATGTCATATTGCCATATCTGTCCCTTCCTATCTTAGTTACTTGAAGAATAAATGAAAATGTATGTGAACACTTTTTTTTCTGAGCTCTTTGGAAGGCATTAAATTAATTGTAATAAATTTAGTGTTAGGAAAATATTCAAGCTAAGTGTGTTTATATTCCTACTCCATATTCATTAATTTAGTCCTTCATTCAACAAATATTTACTAAGAGCCCAGTATGTTGCAGGCATTGGCCTAAGCATTGATGACACAGGCATGGAAAAAACAAAGACCGTCTTAGAGAGCTTGCATTCTAATAGGTAGTGACAGAAAATAAATAAAAGTAAATAAATCAGGCGGTGATATAAGTTATATGTAATTTACTCAGCTATAACTAAATCATATCAAAAAGACCACTGCTTTATAACTTGTCTTTAGATAAAAGATCTATATCTTCTTGTTATATATAATACATCATTACAGATAAACACATTGCTTGCTATTTTTCTCTCTAGTAAATGATAAAAGTATAGGCCTCTTTCACCTTGCACAAGACTACTCACTGTAGTTTTTCTCTGTTATAAACGCACTCAATCAAAGATGGTATGTTAATCACTGAAAGAAAGAATTTGAAACTTACTTTAGATGTCCATGAGATTTTAGGAGTCGTTAAGTGTATAGTTGGCTGACTGACTGACACAGAATGTTTTGGTCCTGGTATTATACTGAGACCTTTGAATATACACAAGTTGGAACACGGACAGTTTTTCCATACATTGAAATTCTCACAAAGTTCCTGCAATGGCACAGACAACATAGAACGTTTTGGGAAAGTGATGAAAAGCACCGCTACCTCTTAGCTGCAAAAGGAAAGGCTCATTAACATCAGTGGCATCACCTCACAGCAAGCCCGCTCTCAATTACCCCCTTTCCATCCTTTCTCCCTCTTATGTTTCTACTTTTCTTTTTTGATTACTTCTCTTGGTTATCTTCCTCAGCCTGTCTTTAACTCCTGCTACTTAGGATATCCACCCCAGGAAACAGCAGACCAAAGGCTAGAATGATATAGTTCCATGTCACTTGAGGCCAAGTTCCCCAATAAAATTTAACTGCTATACAATGGAATATTACTCAATCATAAGAAACGACAGTGATCTAGAACCTCTTATAGTTTCCTGGATTAAACTTAAGCCCATTATCCAAAGCGAGGCACCACAAGATTGGAAGAATGGGCTCCACTTGTACTCGCCATCCAATTGGTACTAACTGATCAACACTAGGGTGATCACATGGCAGAAATACTCTCCAGGGAATAGGAGGATGGGGGGGGGTAAATCTGCAACTAAAGGACACGGGGAGCACTGTAGGGGGGGAAGGGCATGCCTTTAACCCGCACTTAGGTGAGGCAAAGACATAAAGTGTAACGATAATGTTTGTACCCTCACAATACCCTGAAATAAAAAAAAAAAAAAATTTAACTGCTATATAGCTACATATGGAAATACTATTCTATTCAAGGTTATAGACAACTGCTAAAATAAATTGTCCTCACAATAGGATACATCATTTTGTGATTATGCTGTTTGAATGGTCTCCTCAACTAAACTGGAAAACAAAGAAATGTTAATTTTTAAAAGCTGTTCCCTTTAAAATTCTAAAAACTTGTTTTCTAACAGTAATCATAACCAAGAGTGCCACCTATTGGTAAATACAGGACATTTTTATAAACTTCTGTTCAAAGTGCATTCCAAAGCTTTGTGCCACTCCTTTGAATAGGTATTAAAAAAATTACTCATTTTTTGAAATATGTCCGGTGGTTTCATATGTTCCGTGTAAGTATTTAATCAACCACAGCAGATCAATAAATACTAAGTAATTCCTAGCACCATATAAAGAAGATCATTCCATCAATGTTTGTCCCCTCACAGGCCTTACCTTGCCAAAAATCTTAATTAGCTTAATTTTGGAAACACAGAAAATTATCATAAATGCTAAATAAAACTGAAATCCCTTAAATAAGTAGTAAAACAAATCACTGCAAATACCAGATTAAATTTAGGATTTAAGATTAATTACACTTGTTTTGGTTCAATAGGTACACTCAGCTCATTCAACAATTACAGAGGCAAGATACACAATTTTAGGCCTTGGAGATACAATAAAGAACCAGAAACAAGGCACTTGCCATCATGAAGCTTTTATTACAGCTCGAGAAACAGATAATAGTGTTGCTCCATAAATTAATATTACTATATTAGAGACAGAAATGATCTCAGGAGTTTTGCAGGGCTTTGCCCTGAAGGAATATGTGAACGTGTTAGTTTGCATATCAAAAGCTGCTCCACTTCAGGAAGGCATCTCAAAGGTCAATAGTAGCTGCTTTCCAAGGTGATGCTGCAGTCTCAAACCCGTGGTTCTCCCGTGCTTTGAAGGACAAAGCAGGTGCGCATGGAGCCACTGGGTGAGAGCTGATCAAAGAGTGTCTGCCCCGAAAGACAGATAGCTGCCACTAAAAACAATTAGCCCAAGGGACAGTTCCTGCTTGACTTCTGATCACCTGTCTCTGTCTGCAATAACTAGATAAAGAAATATGGGGCCACTATATCTCTGTTTAACCCTTCTGTTAAATGATAGGTTTATCTTAGAACTTAGAAGCTTGTCCTTGAAAGATTTTGTAACCATTTCTTCATGTAGATAGAGTTAATTAAGGGATCTATAGAAGCCTTTTGAAATACTTTTAACCTAAAACGAACTACCTGTTATTATGTAAATCTGTTACCACTGGCAACTGATCCCTATACCTATAAATACCCATGTAAAACTTCACTCCTGGCCTCACAATTGATGGGGATATTGTGAGGTCCCCTAAGTATCCCACTTAAAAGAACACATAAAAGAACATGATTGATTCCAATCATATTAAGTACAAAAATAGGCAAAATGAATCTACAGTGTTAGAAATCAAGTTAGCAGTTTTTTTCCTTGGGAGGTGGTAGTGATAATGTTGTTTCTTAATCTGGGTGCTAACTGCATGTAAAACGTGATCTTAGAATTTGTGTACTTTTCTCTTTGTATATTATACTTCAATAGAAAGTTAAATGCGTGCGCGCGCGCGCACACACACACACACACACACACACACAAATTCCTCAACATTTCAAATTCTAAAAACTACTGGCCTATCAGAAAAGGCACTGATTAGGAGCCAGATGATATATTTTGTTTCTTTCCTATGTCAATTTTTAAACATTTCTTTGCCTAAAATGGCCACATTTAACATGTCATATTGCCATATCTGTCCCTTCCTATCTTAGTTACTTGAAGAATAAATGAAAATGTATGTGAACACTTTTTTTTCTGAGCTCTTTGGAAGGCATTAAATTAATTGTAATAAATTTAGTGTTAGGAAAATATTCAAGCTAAGTGTGTTTATATTCCTACTCCATATTCATTAATTTAGTCCTTCATTCAACAAATATTTACTAAGAGCCCAGTATGTTGCAGGCATTGGCCTAAGCATTGATGACACAGGCATGGAAAAAACAAAGACCGTCTTAGAGAGCTTGCATTCTAATAGGTAGTGACAGAAAATAAATAAAAGTAAATAAATCAGGCGGTGATATAAGTTATATGTAATTTACTCAGCTATAACTAAATCATATCAAAAAGACCACTGCTTCATAACTTGTCTTTAGATAAAAGATCTATATCTTCTTGTTATATATAATACATCATTACAGATAAACACATTGCTTGCTATTTTTCTCTCTAGTAAATGATAAAAGTATAGGCCTCTTTCACCTTGCACAAGACTACTCACTGTAGTTTTTCTCTGTTATAAACGCACTCAATCAAAGATGGTATGTTAATCACTGAAAGAAAGAATTTGAAACTTACTTTAGATGTCCATGAGATTTTAGGAGTCGTTAAGTGTATAGTTGGCTGACTGACTGACACAGAATGTTTTGGTCCTGGTATTATACTGAGACCTTTGAATATACACAAGTTGGAACACGGACAGTTTTTCCATACATTGAAATTCTCACAAAGTTCCTGCAATGGCACAGACAACATAGAACGTTTTGGGAAAGTGATGAAAAGCACCGCTACCTCTTAGCTGCAAAAGGAAAGGCTCATTAACATCAGTGGCATCACCTCACAGCAAGCCCGCTCTCAATTACCCCCTTTCCATCCTTTCTCCCTCTTATGTTTCTACTTTTCTTTTTTGATTACTTCTCTTGGTTATCTTCCTCAGCCTGTCTTTAACTCCTGCTACTTAGGATATCCACCCCAGGAAACAGCAGACCAAAGGCTAGAATGATATAGTTCCATGTCACTTGAGGCCAAGTTCCCCGATAAAATTTAACTGCTATACAATGGAATATTACTCAATCATAAGAAACGACAGTGATTTAGAACCTCTTATAGTTTCCTGGATTAAACTTAAGCCCATTATCCAAAGCGAGGCACCACAAGATTGGAAGAATGGGCTCCACTTGTACTCGCCATCCAATTGGTACTAACTGATCAACACTAGGGTGATCACATGGCAGAAATACTCTCCAGGGAGTAAATCTGCAACTAAAGGACACGGGAGCACTGTAGGGGGGGAAGGGCATGCCTTTAACCCGCACTTAGGTGAGGCAAAGACATAAAGTGTAACGATAATGTTTGTACCCTCACAATACCCTGAAATAAAAAAAAAAAAAAAATTTAACTGCTATATAGCTACATATGGAAATACTATTCTATTCAAGGTTATAGACAACTGCTAAAATAAATTGTCCTCACAATAGGATACATCATTTTGTGATTATGCTGTTTGAATGGTCTCCTCAACTAAACTGGAAAACAAAGAAATGTTAATTTTTAAAAGCTGTTCCCTTTAAAATTCTAAAAACTTGTTTTCTAACAGTAATCATAACCAAGAGTGCCACCTATTGGTAAATACAGGACATTTTTATAAACTTCTGTTCAAAGTGCATTCCAAAGCTTTGTGCCACTCCTTTGAATAGGTATTAAAAAAATTACTCATTTTTTGAAATATGTCCGGTGGTTTCATATGTTCCGTGTAAGTATTTAATCAACCACAGCAGATCAATAAATACTAAGTAATTCCTAGCACCATATAAAGAAGATCATTCCATCAATGTTTGTCCCCTCACAGGCCTTACCTTGCCAAAAATCTTAATTAGCTTAATTTTGGAAACACAGAAAATTATCATAAATGCTAAATAAAACTGAAATCCCTTAAATAAGTAGTAAAACAAATCACTGCAAATACCAGATTAAATTTAGGATTTAAGATTAATTACACTTGTTTTGGTTCAATAGGTACACTCAGCTCATTCAACAATTACAGAGGCAAGATACACAATTTTAGGCCTTGGAGATACAATAAAGAACCAGAAACAAGGCACTTGCCATCATGAAGCTTTTATTACAGCTCGAGAAACAGATAATAGTGTTGCTCCATAAATTAATATTACTATATTAGAGACAGAAATGATCTCAGGAGTTTTGCAGGGCTTTGCCCTGAAGGAATATGTGAACGTGTTAGTTTGCATATCAAAAGCTGCTCCACTTCAGGAAGGCATCTCAAAGGTCAATAGTAGCTGCTTTCCAAGGTGATGCTGCAGTCTCAAACCCGTGGTTCTCCCGTGCTTTGAAGGACAAAGCAGGTGCGCATGGAGCCACTGGGTGAGAGCTGATCAAAGAGTGTCTGCCCCGAAAGACAGATAGCTGCCACTAAAAACAATTAGCCCAAGGGACAGTTCCTGCTTGACTTCTGATCACCTGTCTCTGTCTGCAATAACTAGATAAAGAAATATGGGGCCACTATATCTCTGTTTAACCCTTCTGTTAAATGATAGGTTTATCTTAGAACTTAGAAGCTTGTCCTTGAAAGATTTTGTAACCATTTCTTCATGTAGATAGAGTTAATTAAGGGATCTATAGAAGCCTTTTGAAATACTTTTAACCTAAAACGAACTACCTGTTATTATGTAAATCTGTTACCACTGGCAACTGATCCCTATACCTATAAATACCCATGTAAAACTTCACTCCTGGCCTCACAATTGATGGGGATATTGTAAGGTCCCCTAAGTATCCCCGCTTTGCTTTTTCTTTATAAATCTATAAAACTATACCTTTGTCTCTGTGTATTCTTTTATTTCTATTATTTTCCATTTTCTATTATTTTCTTATCCTTTGCGATGACCCCTGCCTAAGGGACCCGATTTTTTGCTGGGAGTGTAGCTAACTCCCCACATAATAGTAAACAGATAATTAACGAGATAATTACAGATTATGAATGTGATAAAAGTAAGAGTGATAGGGTGGGAGGGGTAAAATTGGGAAAAGCCTCTCTTAGGTGATGACACCTCAGCTGAGACCTGAATGATGAGGAAGAGGCAGCCAAGCAGATGTTAAGGGCAGAGCATTCCAGCAGAGGGATTAGCAAGAACAAAGGCTTTACACAGAAGCTAGCCTGGCGTGTTTGAGGAACCATGGCCATCGTGACTGGAGAGCAGGAAGCTGGGTGAGAGTGAAATGAGATGAAGTCAAGCAGGCCATGGTAAGGGTATGAACTTTACCCTAAGGGCAATGAGAAGCAACTGAAGCGTTTGAATAAACCAGAAGAAGGACATGACCTAATTTATATTTTTAAAGGATTGTTCAGGCTTCTGTGTGAAGAATTTTGGATCACAGAAGGGAAAGAGGAGAAGCAGGAAATTTAGTTAGAAGGCTCTGGTCTAAGATTATAGTAGAAAAACAACTACAGAGATGACAGAAATAGATAAACATGGAATATATTTTGGAATTAGAGCCCTGCAACTTGCTGATAGATTAGACAGGGTGTGAGAGGGCAGTGAGGCACAGAAAAACCAAGAATGCCTTAATGAGCACGAATGCATTGAAATAAAGTAAATTCAAAGAACAATCATGACATCTGTCATTCATTCATTCATTCAAAGATGGGGTCTCGTTATGTTGCCCAGGCTGGGATTAAGTGATCCTCCTGCCTCAGCCTCCTGAGAAGCTGGGAATACAGGTGTGCTTAACATGGCAGCATCTGTCAATTTAGAATTCTAGGTGTCACTGAGGAAGCAAAGGGGCTCCTAGCATTTGGTAAACAAGTGATGCACAGAGTGTTTGACCTGAATCAGTGGAACTAGGCTCAGGTGTGACTCCTTCCTGCTTTTTGATCTTGAGCAAGTTACCTCTTACCATTTTAACAATACTCACGCCACCTCATTAGATTGTGAAAAGATATAAATAATGTCTATGGAAGTACCTGGCAAGTAAGAATGTTGCTAAAAATTAATCCAAATATATAAACATCTTCTCTTCCTTGCCAAACAATCTAGAGAGGTAGAGGTTTGATATTGCCAATAAATAACTCCCCCTAGCCTGATGTAAAATGGCACTTATTAAACAGTTCCCATTATACAATTATGACCCAGCTCTAAATCTGATCTTATGCTAAAAATTCTGGACACTGTTATTTTTTGGATAAGCAATGTTAACGTTTATGATAAAAAATAAAATAAACTTGTGATTTCAACTGCCTATAGCAACTAGTAAATATGATTTTGTCATACTGTCAGGGTCCAAAAGTGTGTCATTACAAAATGTTTCTATTCCCTTTCAGGAACAAATGACGACTACCTTTATTAGACGTTGTAATGTTTTATTTAAAAGTGCTGGATACGGTAAAAAAAAAAAAAAACTACATTAAATATTTGGCTATGGTTTTATTTTCTTTAGCACAGTACAAGCTCGAATGGAGCACAACCATTAGAGCAGCCACCTCTGGCTAGACAAGGGGGATGACCAACAGATGGCAGGATGAAAGCTTATGGAAAGACAAGAAGACCCCTCACCCCCAATCTAGTTCTCAAGGGAACCAGCACTGCAGCACTGCTCATCGGAAGATCTCAGTAGTCTGCAGAGCTACAGTGCTGTTTGTTTAATCTAGTTCTGCTCTAACTCCATTCCCATCACAAATGGCATCACGGTTTCTACGGTTGACAGACACGAGTTCTCACCATTGCTTACTGCCACTTACCAGCCTTCCCTTAGGCAAGTTCCTTAACCCCTAAACCTCATGTTTCCCAGTGTTAAAGATGGAGTTTAGGCCAGGCGTGGTGGCTCACGCCTATAATCCTAGCACTTTCGGAGGTCAGTGTGGGAGGCCAGGAGTTTCAGACCAGCCTGAGCAACACAGGGAACCCCATCACTACCAAAAATAAAAAATTGGCAGGGTGTGGTGTATGCCTGTAGTCCCAGCTACTCAGGAGGTTGAGGCAGAAGGATCACTTAAGCCCAGGAGTTTGAGGTTGCAGTGAGCTATGATGATGCCACTGCACTCTAGCCTGGACAACAGAACGAGACCCTGTCTCAAAAAAAAGACAAATAAAAGGATGGGGTTTAATGATATTTATACCTCACTGGGCTGTTTTAATAACATAATGCATACAAAGGATTTGGTATCGTGCATGGCACATAGTGTCAGCTATTATTAAGAGGTTCAGGCCGGGCGTGGTGGCTCATGCCTGTAATCCTAGCACTCTGGGAGGCCAGGGCAGGAGGATCGCTCGAGGTCAGGAGTTTGAGACCAGCCTGAGCAAGCGTGAGACTCTGTCTCTACTAAAAATAGAAAGAAATTAGCCAGACAACTAAAAATATATAGAAAAAATTAGCTGGGCATGGTGGCGCATGCCTGTAGTCCCAGCTACTCAGGAGGCTGAGGCAGAAGGATCGCTTAAGCCCAGGAGTTTGAGGTTGCTGTGAGCTAGGCTAACGCCACAGCACTCTAGCCCGGGCAATAAAGCGAGACTCTGTCTCCAAAAAAAAAAAAGAGGTTCATTAGTTTTTCTTTTTTCCATTTTAGGTAATACATGTTCACAGAAAAGTTGGAAAATTACAAAGAAAAACTACCCAACTACCCCTGTAACTTTTAGGACTACTAATTTCAGATCTTAAGACTCCCCATCAAATTGTTTTTGATAGATCCAAATTGCTTTCTAAAAGATCTACCAATTTATACTTCTCTTGAGCCAAATATGACTGTACCCATTTTTTTAATTTGTGGGTACTTACACTGAAGAACTGAAGAATTAAAGCCAGTTCCCAACCTCAAAATGATCATTGGGACTACACAATAGGTACTGGAGAATCTCCCTTTTCCTTCTGTCTCCAAGAGGCTACCTGGGAAGTATTTGTGTCTGCCCAGGTACGGGGAGCAGCCACTGCTCTGTATGGGCTTGCTGAGATTTCTCCTTTGCCCGGACAGACCACAGTCATCACAGTTAATCTTTGACAAGTTTAACAATGTTTCCTAACTGCTGGGTAGATCTCCAATTACGCAAAATAAAGTGTTTGTGAGGCCTCTGAAATAATCTTCCACAAATTCCTTTAATGTACCTTCTGGATTTTCTCTCAAAAACTTCTCTGCCTTTAGGTTTTTAAGCTTTAAAGAAGGGCTTAACTGGGTGGAGCTTCATCTCAGTGCACACAAACTGGTAACTTCACACAAACATTTGAGTGCATGTATGTAAGCACAGGGATGTATTTTGTTTACATTATTATGTAAAGGTAAACTAAATATGGTATATACAATTGCTAAACCAAGTAAAATTCATAATTTCCATGCAAAAGTATAATCTGAGATCTAAAAGGGTTATTATAATCATCTCTAGTACAACCCTTTCTTACTTAGAACTAAAGGCCCAAACAATGTGAATATCCAGTTGCCATAGCTAATTAGCAACTCGGAGTCTGAGCACCGATCTTCTGCAACAGTGTTTTCCCCCTACAATACCTTCCTTCTCTACCAAGATACTAATATGCCTAGTAAAAGAGCAATACCTGATGGAATCCGGTTTTTCCAAGACAAGCACTAGCACTGCTTTCAGGACAAACCACCTTTTATTTCCATTTCAAGGCTTCATACTGATAACCCTGCCCACTGACACCGTTACTATCACAAAGAAGAAACTGGGATTCACATAAGTAATTTGTTTCTGCGCTTTGGAAACAGACAAGTTCTTCACTGATTTCCCTACTGTGTGATCTTGGTCAAGATGTCCAACTCTGCACCTCAGTCTGAAAAACAATAAAATGGAATAACATCTAAGCCCCTAGAGTTGATGGGAGAATTATACTTAGCGCAATACCTGGCGCATAACAAACCCCAATTAAAAAAAGGTAATGTTATTACTGTTACTACAAATCATTGTAGTTACTAATGTCGTACACCTTCCAGGGCTTAGTCCTTTCAGCAACACAATTTAAGGTATCTGAAGATGTCTGGGGTGAGGAAAAAGCGGGGATGTACCTGCAACCAGGAACAGTAACAAGCTGAGCGTCGTCCTGAGTTCAAGGTCACTCCGTGAAGCTAAATTCCACAGGAACTGTTGCGCCGTCACCAGAGAGGGAGGTCGAGGAGGCTATACTACTCCCGCCGCCACCACCTGAGACCAAGCAAAGCGGCGCCCCACTTTTCCCGAGCACCGCGTGGATGCTACCTGGCGCCTGCTGCAGCCTTCAGCGGTCTGCTCAAGGCTTCTCTACGCCCGCAACGTGAAGCGAGGACACCGCCGCCGCAGGTACCTAGCCTACCGACCCGTGCCAAGTTCCACCGCCCGTGCGCGGGAGCTTACGCGGGCCCAACATGACGTAGCAGCTGCGCGGGCGAGCCCCACATTCTATTGGCCGCTGATGTCCAATGGGAGGAGCGGTGCGCGGCACTGCTGAGAAGCAAGCGCCGTCTTTCCAGTGTCTCCACCCCTAGCTCAGCCATCTCCATGGTGACCGCTACCTTTCACCCATTTGGCCTTCAAGACCGGGGTTGCGTCATTATCTATGCGCCGGAAGCAATAGTTCCTGAACTGGCGTGTCGTAATGACGCAAGACCGGGCCGGCACCCGCCGAGTTAAACCAACTGAGGAGGTGTGTTGAACAGCAGGGGCGTCAGCCCCTTGCCGGCTTCTGCTGACCATGGCAGTGTTTCACGACGAGGTGGAGATCGAGGACTTCCAATATGACGAAGACTCGGAGACATATTTCTACCCCTGCCCGTGTGGGGATAACTTCTCCATCACCAAGGTAACTTCAGGGCCCCTCCTGGCGACTGACCCAAGCAGGCGCGTTTTCACTCCGCCGGATGTTCCTTCAGCCGGTCGGTCGTCCTTGAGGCGCTGAGTCTTCCACGCCCTCTTTCCCGTTTCTGAATCCGCCTCCCCTGCCCGCTCCCCTCATTAATGTCTTGAGCTTTCAGTGTACACTTAGTTTTGGACTTCAGCTAGGCCGGGGAGGGGGTGGCGGGGAGCAGCGGTCTTCCTGACGGATACCCCCCTCAGGGCCCCTTCCTAGGATAGTTCGGTGGAGGGGACGTGTTTTTGTTTCCCAGGGATTTTGAGGCGACTGAACCTCGCCTAACCTTCTTGGGTATTTATTTCCCTAAGTGACGCTTGTAGGGAAAAAAGGCGTTGGCGTTTCTCGCGGAAGGCCCTTTTGGCTCTCTCACCCACTCTGAGGGGAGGCGAGCCACCAGGAGATTTCGGCATAGGGGTGGGAGACGTTGGGAGGCAGGAAATGGTCAAAGGAAGACTATGCTAACCACACGGTGTTTGATTTCATTGTAGGAAGATTTGGAGAACGGGGAAGACGTAGCGACGTGTCCTAGCTGCTCCCTCATTATAAAAGTGATTTATGACAAAGTAAGAGATGTAATATAAAAAGAGGGAAAGGGGGTTGTGAGGCAATAACAAGGACCTGGAGCAGCCTGTCAGTGATAAGTGCAGGAAGATGTTTCATAACAGTGTGCTAGGTAAAGTGCTATATTTTTAAAAAGAAATTTTGAAAATCATTGACGAACGGCTGAATAGCAAATTGAAATTTTAAAAGCTCAAATTACATAACTTATTTTAGCTTTGGAGAGGGTAATACAACTCTTTAATAAAATATTGATTACTTATTAAATGGAAGAAAAGTAATTATAAATGTTATTTTAATTGACAGTATTTATTGTTCCACTATTTAATGTGTAACTAAAATTGTTCAGAGGTCCTAGGTTTATTTTGAAGAAACAATTGTATAGTACTTCTTGCCTGACTTATACATAGAACGCTGCATTAACGTGTTTGAAATACCTACTTGCAATTTTACAATTTCATTTTAGTCTTTAGTTGTCCTATTGTCTTTCACACAAGAATATTGATAATAGAAAAACAGTAAATGTTATTACTGCCTACCCCGGCCCAAAGTTTTGGTCAGTACTTTGAATGGAGTCTTAAGTAAAGAGCTTAACACTCTTACGCGTGAATTTTAAAATGAGAATGGGGAAAGTGGGGATGAGGCACAGAGCCTCACGAAAGAAGCAAGCTAAAATTTAGACTGTAATTTAGAAATGTAATGATTCATTCTTTTATTAAAATGTGCTCTGGAGCAAAAAGCAAACAGGGTAAGGAAGATCAGGAGGGCTGGTTTGGGAGGAAGTTGAGATTTTAAATAGGGTAATCATGGCAGGTCTTACTGAGAAAGGCCTTTATTAAGTAAAGATTTGAAAGAGATGAGGGAGTCAGCCAGATACATGTGAGGGTTAAGAGAGTCCAGCAAAGGGAACATTCAGTGAAGGATCCCTGAGGCAGGAACATGCCTGGTTTTATCAAGGAAAAAAAGAAGGCCAGTGTGACCAGAGCAGAGTAATGAAGGGTGAGAGTAGTCCAAGATAAAATTAGTGGAGTGGGGCAGATCACAAAGATGTTTGTGGGACACCTTAAAGACCTTAGCTTTTGTTGTGAATGGTATAGGGAACCATTGGAGGATTTTGGAATAAAGGAGTGCCGTGATCCAATTTAAACTTTAAAAGCGCGAGTCTGGCTGCTGTGTTGAGAGTAGACAGTGAGAAAGCAAAGATAGAAACAGGAAAACCAGTTAAGAGGCTGTTACATTAATCAAAGCAGGAGTTGGGTGGCTTGGACTGGGCTGCAGCAATGGAGGTGGTGAGAAGTGATTGGATTCTGGATACACTGAATAATAAGGATTTTCTTAGGGTTTGGTTATAGGGTATGAGAGGAGTCAAGGATGATTTCAACATGCATGACCTTAATTACTGGAAGGATGGAATTACCATCAACTGAGGGGGAGGTAACTGTAGGTATAGGGGTGGGAGTTGGACATACTATGTTTGAGAAGTCTCTTTGTCATCCAGGTGGAGCTGTTGAGAAGGCAATTTGGTTATATATGTCTGGAGTTCAGGAGAGAGACTGGCGGGCAATGTAAATTTGGGAGTTACCAGTAAGAACATATAGAGCCATCAGATTGGATGAGATCACCAGGACTGTGAATGTAGATAGGGACAAAAGAAAGGACCGACCCTTGGGGCACTCCAACATTAAAAGGTTTTGGAGGGAAACAAAGAAATCAGCAAAGCTGACTGAAAAGGAGCAACCCCTGAGGAAGGAGGAAAATCAACAGTGTCATATCCTGGAAGTCAGATGAGAAAAAGTCAAGGAAGTGATGATCCTTTTCGGTGACACTGATAGAAAGAAATCAAGAATTAGCCACTGGTTTTAGCAACACAGTTCATTTGTGATGGTGATGAGAGCAGTTTCTATGGCGTAATAGGGACAGAGCTTGATGGGAGAAACCGGATGGGTGGAAAACTGGTTGGAGAGAATGGGAGAATAGGAGGCAGCAAGTGTAGGCATTTCTTTCAAGGAGTTCGCTGCAAAGGGAGCAGAAATATGGGGCAGTAACTGGTGGTGACAGAGGATTAAGAGAGAGTTCGAGGTGATAGACATTCAGCTCAATGGGTGAATGTAGACACTGGAAGTTAGATTTAACCAGGTTTGTGGTTTTGCCAAGTGAATAGGAAGGAGTAAGAGAACAGTAATTATGATAATTGACCACAGAATTTGAACTAGGTAAAGAGAACATCAAGGGAGTGAGGGGCAGTGAAAAAAGGTGGTTTCCAAAATAGAGGGGAGGTCCAGATGGGTTGGAATATGGGATCCAGGTGGGTAGATGACAGAAACAGAGAGGAATAGTAACACTATAATCTCATGACATAACGTTCAAAGTTGGTGGGTTTTAAAGACGGAAGGAGAATAGTGGCAAAAAGGAGCAACCAGCCCCACTTCTAAGGCCTGTGGTACCACAGGGCTCTGGAAACACAGAGCCACCACTAGAGGGAGATGTAGGGAAAACAGTGTTCTTAGAGTGGCTTTGTGTCAACCTCAGCACTATTGACATTTCAGGCTTGATAATTCTTTGTTGTGTGGGGTTATCCTGTATATTGTAGGATGTTTAGCAGCATCCCTGACCTTTAGATGTCAGTAGCACCCCCTAGTTGTGTCAACCCAAAATGTTTCCAGAGATTGACAAATGGTCCTTGGGGGGCAAAGGGACACTTTAAAGAAGAGGTTGAGAATATGGAGCATTGTGCTGACAATGGGCTATGAATTCCAAAGAGCACTGTGAAAAGGTTCCAGATGTTGGGTTCCAGATGTTCCAGAGAGTGATAGGGACAGAATAGGGGTTGATGCTTCAGGGATCAGATTCAGGAGATGCAAGGTAATTTGGGAGGCAGAGATTTCTTGTGGTAGCTGACATAAACCAGGATAAATGATCAGAGATTGAACTTCATTTACAACGGAGCGAACATTGCAGATTATCTGTATTGGGAAACACATAAAGAACTATCCCTTTTAGTTGGAGGAAGTAATTATTTTGAAGAGGACAGGTATTTGACCAAATATTGAAAGTGGAGAAGTTTTAATGTAAATGGTAATTAATACAGAAACTTAAAAGATGATTTCTGTGAAGTGGTTGCTCTGTAGTAAAGATGGACATGTTTGTTTATAAGATTAGGTACTTTATTTTAAATAATGAATTCAGGACTAAAAACTGATATACTTTTAAGATTCTAATTCTGATGCTGACATTGGTTCTTCGAACAAAGATGAAGTGATAATAGCAATGGAAAAACTAAATTAACAGTTGGATTGATTCTGTAGCAAAATGAAAATTTAGTATTGATGCATTTGCAACACAGAAACTCAGTGGTTAATGTCATTTCTCACTCTTAGGATCAGTTTATCTGTGGAGAAACAGTCCCAGCCCCTTCAGCCAACAAAGAGTTAGTTAAATGCTGAGGAAGACTTCAGAAATCCAAATCGTGAGCAGCTGGGAATGAACCAAGATGGAAACGTCAAATACAAAGTTTCTGGCTTCTTCACTGAGACAAGCATTTTGTGGTTTGCTGTTCTGTTTGAGTGTGGATTCTTCTTATCAGCTGCTAAGTTCATCTTCAAGAAGTGAGTCCACAACATGACATACTTGGATTTTGTGCTTAGAACTTTGAATTAGAAGCATTCTCAATTATCCCATCTGGATTTAAAGGAAGATAATTTCAGATCAGTGCTTTCTTTCCATCAGTTTCATCATTTTTATCTTGAGCCTAATTAGTATAACATCATCTACCTCAGTCATTAGGATTCCTTAATAAAAAAGAGATTTTTTTTTACTTATTTATTAAGATGATTAAAATTAGCCCTTCCTTTGAAATTTGACATCAGGTTTGCTGTTGTAGATTTAAAATTATTTGTTTTGTCAGTACTACACTTCTAGCTCCTATACCAAGGAGGTCTCCTCAGTCATGCCATTATTAGAATATTCATGTTCTGTTCAGCATGCCATTTCGGTTACACTTAATGCACAGAGTTTGGTCATGATATTAAAGAGAAAACATAGTGAGGTCACAGTTTCTCCAGGGCTAAACGATAGTGAATAAGAAAGAAAATTCCAAAGTGAAATGATCAAGGAATATGAAGTTTTCTTATATTCTGCAACTTCTCGGAAATCAAGATAAGATAAAAAGCAAAACTGTCGAAGGAAGTGAAATTGATAACAGAATGAGAGATGCAAAACATGCCAACTCAATAATAAGTAAAATACTGATTTTGCCAGATCAGAGCAAATAATATTTCTGTGTCTGGGTTCTTGTTTGTTTAAGGCTAATGAAATTGCATTCCAGGTAGGGTTAATGTCAAGTCCTCATGGCTGCCTGGTACTAGTGCTTTCAGCATATTGCAATATCCCATCACTACTCCTAAAAGGTAAACCATCTACAACAGAGAATGAGCTTGAAAATGGAAGGCCTATTCTGATTTATTATGCCCATGAGGACACATGGGCCAAGCCTCTATAATGTGCAGCCAAACCAGACGTGCATTCCTGCAGAGAAATGTTGCCTTGGAGAAAAGGAAACATAAACTGTCAGTCTTCCTTTGCTACAGTGTTAAGAGTAGCAAGAAATTAGAATCATTTACATGGAAATTTGAAAATTCTCTTTGTACACAACTTCGCTGCATTTGTATAAAATTTTTAAAATGCACTGATGTCTGGCAGGTTGTTTTGGGAATGGCTCCCACAATTAGAGAGAAAAATAGCTTGCTAGAATGTGAATGTTTTGTTACTGATCCATAAATGTGCTGCACTGGTCCATAAATGTGCTCATTGAATCTTTAAATAAGTGAGTGGCCTTTTTTACCTGCCAGCAGCATGGCTATGTGCAGCCATGAGGCTGAGATATAGTAAGTCACCAAAAATTGTATACAGAAAGTGCTTGGTACATTATATGGCATATTGTTGATGCGATGAGAAATCTTATTGCTATTTGAGATACTGATAGCCCAGAAGTAATCCACAACTGCTTTGCAAAAACAAAGCGACTGCTGGGAATAACAGAGCAGGGTACTTGCTGACTATGGTGGGAATGAGCTAGAAAGAGAAATGAACTCTCCCATGCTCATGTTGATAGTTTTCTAGATGTGGTAACATGTTAGCTCTCTCTGCTGATGATGGATTTCATATAAACAGACATCCCTGATGTAGGTCTGCTATGAGCATAGAAAAATAGGAACAAAAGTTGCCAAGTTCAGACATCTCAGGAGAAAAGAAGCATAAACAGCATTAGCAATAAGAGATGGGTGATAATGCTGCAATAATGGGAATGATTCTGTTTCTCAAACAGTTGAGTCACTAAGTTTGTGAACTCTAAAAGAACACATCAGGATTTAATCCTCTGTTACGCAGAAAGTAAAACAGTCTTTCAGATATGACTAAAGTTCTGTGTGGCATGTATGCCTTATTTATCCCAGGATATTTCTGGAGCATCTCTAGGAACTGATTTGTAATCCAGATGGCCTCTTAGGAGCTTTGTAATCTTTGGCAAAGCCAGTAGATTCCTCACTTCTACAATTAGGAGACTGGTTCAGGTGATTTCTCAGCTGTCAGTTCTCTAATTTCAGGCTTGGTAACTTAGAGGAACAGAAATGGCAATTGAAACCTTTATAAACTCAAAATCATGAATTACAGAGAAAGAGACTTTATTCTTCAATTACTTGATGTTATCACACTTCTGAGTTTGAAAATTATGAAGTCAACTATTTAAAGGATTCTACGTATACTTTAGTGTACACACTTGGAAACATTTTTCTTAGAAAAAGCACCCAACATGTATGATAACTATATATATTTATTAACAGAATAAATTGTATTGGCATGCTAAATAAA